GTTTACCATTTTTAGTGTGGCATTTGTTTGACTTTTAAAATGCTTGCATACATACTGTTTTTAGCTTTTAAATACAGTATTGTCTTTTAATGATCTAAGCTGCCTTGGGTCCTTTTTAGGGAGAAGAGTGATAAAAATATTTTAGATAAATAGATAATTTTGGGGAGAACACCCTATTCTCCTTTCTTTTACTTGATGGTGAATCACGTTATGGAGAAGATTTCTATGATGTCATTCCCGCCCCGCCCCCGCCCCCTATGTTTGAGTTTCTAGATGGGCCTGAATATGTTTATGAGTAATCTGGCCCTGATGAGAAGGGCCAGATTACTCATAAATATGTTTGAAGTTGCTTATGGGTTCAAATGTAGGTTGTAGAGAAAATGTGAAATAATGTAGAACTCTCCCTCCTAGCTCAGTGGTTCTCAAACTGATGTTCTTGAACTGCAACTCCCAGAAATCCTCACCATCACAGCAAGTGGTGAAGGCTTCTGGGAATTGCAATCCAAGAACATCTGGGGATCCCAGTTTGAGAACCACTGCCTTAGCTCACATCTATGCCTTATGGTTGAGGAAGTTGAAGAAGGTGATATTTGAAATGCAGAACTGGAAGGGACCCTACGGATCATTGAGTCCAGCCCTTGTCAAGGGAGCACAGTTGGAGAATCATACTCTGAACCTCTGGCTCCGCAGCCACATACCTAAACCACTGAGCTATCCCAAACATCAGATCTTTGACCTGTGTTTTAAAATAGCTAGCTGCAGCTATGGGTGGGATGGCTTAATTTCTAGTAGAAATGTGATTGAAAGTATGGATTAAATCAATACAGTGTTGCCTCGACTTATGAATATCCCTACTTACGACCATTTCGAGTTATGACCAGCTCTGGCCACAAAATTTTGCTTCTACATACGAACAGAAAAAGGCAGGGGGAAAAGGTGGGAAATTCAAATCTCTAACTGTAGGTGGCGACAAGGCTGCTTCTTTGTAGCTCTTTCACCCCAGCAATTAGAGTGTGCGATCAGAGAAGGCTGCCTGGTAAGGTAAGGTGCTGTTTTCTGCTTTTAAAAAACTGTTCTGGGTGCTTTTGCAGTGCTGTTTTAGGCTGGGGGGTTATGTTTCTGTGCTGTGATAGGTCTTGGGGGTTTGGTTGCTTTTTGGCTTCCCCCCTCATTTCCAATGGGTCTGGGGGGTTGCTTTTTTGGAGTCCCCCTGTTACATACAACACTGATGTTACCTGTCTGTCATGGGTATGGAGGGAAAGTTCCATCCTATGGGGAGTGGAAGGCGGGACATCAGGAGGAGGGGCTG